TCAGACTGACGGAATGATCTGTTATTACTCTAACATTGGTTGTTCTGAATCCAAAGTAATTTTCAAGTGACGAAAAAACAACAACAACAACAAAAACCAAAAAAAAGCCTTTACAAGGAGCAAACGTTCGCACCTCGTATATTTCATTCAGTCTCAGTCAGAACTCTCACAGAACGAGACAAACAAACGCAGGCGATAAGGGATGCGCAGAAGCTTGCGCAGAACGTTTTTCCGCCCTGAAAAGACCAACATTGACGTCACGTAGTCTCCAGTCTATCACGCGGCCATTTCAGAAACGTTTTCGTGAAGTCTTCGGAAATGCTCGGATTTTGATCTTTTATCTTTCTATAAAGGCTTGGGAAGAAAAATCTTTACCCAAATCTCACTTAGGATGGTTCTTTTTAGTGTTTGATGAAGGTAAAGCGGCAAAAGAAAATATTTCAATTTTTTGGTTCATTTGACCTTTAAAGGAAAAGAAACCCGGACTGAAATTTATCCTCAGGTTAGGGCTAATCGGCCTTTGAACAACTGGGCCAAGGAATATGAACGCACTTCTGGAAACAAAAAGAAAAGACTTTAACTTGACGTTTCGTGTGTTCGGTGCATCTTCCGAAGTAATAAATTGCTCTATTTTAAGCAGTCGCAAAGAAGGACCGTAAGTTTACTTGTAATAATTTACGAAAACAAAAACAAACGGTGATCAAAGTTAAACTTACTCTGTTTTTGAAAAATGTGACTATATAATGGGGCTTTCAGTGTTGGTCCATGTTTTAAGAGCAGGTTTTTATGATTATTTAATTAATTTGCTGTTTAATATTTATTTGGGTTGCTTGGTTTGGATAAAATCGTTCTTTAGTTTGTCCAGCAATTAAAACGGTCGAACGACAAACATGTCCTGGTGGAAAGGAAAACGGTTTTTTTTCTTATCAATCAGAATCAGTTTAACCTTCTCCACCGAAAAAAGTGACAAAAACATCATACAAATCCAGAATTGCTTCATTTTGTGTTGCTGATATCCGTCTGGTATGAGTTAAATAATCGCATCATGAATATTCTAGAAAAAGATTTTAAAATATTTATAAACAGAACGCGTTATGTCTGTAACATACTGAAGTAATTTGTCTAAAGTGAAAAATTTGGTCATTTAATGCAAACCTCCCAGAGCGTTTTTAAAGAACAATAGATGAAACGAATAAAATAAGCCGTAACTATATCGTTGCCGTTAAAAGAATAACATTCAGTTGAGCTCAGCGATGTGAGTTGGAAAAGAATAATAAACATCAGCGTCAAATCAAAAACCACAGATCATAAGGATTTTAAAAGGTGAGAAGGATATTTAACAAATATTTCATGAACGTTGGCCCAATAATGTCTATGTAGGTATATTTTCAGTTAAGTATACACGTGTTGCTAGTTAAGAAACGCAATAGAAGTGTATTCAAACGCGTCACTTTTAATAGTCTAATCTTCGCGGACGTATGCCCTAGGGGAAGTTTAATATCATTTTATTAGATCGCACGATGATTCAAAATTTAGGTCTTTAGGATAAAAGTCACTTTGTAATATGATATCCAACTGAGAATAAACGAACGATATTAGTTTGTTAGCGCTGCTCAATGGCGCTAAGAATAAACTGAATATGTCGTGGCCGATCCTCGGGACCTTTCAGCTGACCCTGGGTTTTCCTTTTTTGTGTGTGAAATTTTCCGGTCAATATGCTAACTAACAGTACCCAAACAAAGGCAATTGACAAAAACCTTCTCCGGATAAACATACAAGGCGTAAACTTATCCGGATCTTTCACCAATTATTTACGTATTAATATTGACTATAACGGCGTGTATTTTGTTGTATGTCGAAGTATAAAAGCTTAGTAAACTCCATTTTTACAAGAAATTAGAGGTGAATTCCTTCATTTTTGAATGAACGTGACATGGTGAAGCAAGAAATCTAATATTTGTAAAGAAAAAAAGGATTTCATTACAAAACAATTTTCTCGATTGCGATGAAACGGATACAGCGATTCCCTAATAGCATCACTTTGATGAACATTTTTTAGCCAATAAACCGAATACAAATGCAAGAAACCATTCAACTACTTAGAACAGGGCCAACTTTAGATTCTAATCTCTAATAATTTCTGGAAGCAGGTCTGGATTCATATTAAAATGTAAAGCACAGTAATAGCATTTTCCTGCTGCTATTAAGGTAAGAACCACGGAAAACTTTTTGTTGAATTTCCACTGAATTCAACGAGTTATAGAGATTTTTAGAGGTGAACATCTTTTGCCCACGGCAGCTAATTGCCACTTGGACCAATCTAAAAAATAGCTTCATTAAATATGATATATAGTGAGTCACGTAGATAGAATATTCGCCCCTACCTGAGCGTATATATGCAGAGAGAATTAGAAATTTCCTTTTTTCAAAAACAAAGATACGTACTATATTTGTTCTAAGAAATGTAACTGATTTCCGTAAAACGTAGAAACCTGTGTGGCTTCGCCTGGATTGTGTTTATCTAACAGGTAAGGAAGAATCATGATGTGGTAAACCTGTGAAATCAGCATCATCCTTTCCTTTATAAGAGTCACTTAGTGTAAGGAGAGAAATGAGGGAAGAGAGCCTTGATGCACTGGAAAAGTTACGATATGCTGTACATCACGCATTTATAACACCATCTCTGGCTCTCCAGTCACCACACCATGGTTTTCTTTAGGTGAAAACTAGAGAACAGTTTATTTTCCGAGAAAGGCAATTGAACTTTCATTTTCTTTTGGAGAAAATTAAAACTTCAAATTTCGTTTAGTTATTTCTTTATGAACGTCTTGAAGTAAAATTTCCAATTTATTTTAAGAGGATATAACGCTGAGAAAACTTGAGAAAGGCGAATATTATGACGTCAATTACCGTAAATGACCAAATAAACGCCCCTTTCTAATAGACGCATCCATTATGTGAATTACTCCAAAATACTAGGAAAAAGCAAAATCATTCAATTCATTCGGTTTTTTTCCTTGATTAACAAGGCTTTGCAACGACAAATTAAAAGTTAGGATAGACTAACGATAGCAACACGATAACCTTGATCGAGGATTCTGACATCGATGTTGGGATTTTAAAGAGAGATTTGGATCTCTAGACGGCCAAGACATATGAGCTGATGAAGTGAATATTCCGCTATTTTTGAACTCTCGTAATATTTTCGCCGAGAGCTTATTAGTTTGGTTGAGCTTGTTACAGTTATGAGAATAAACGTCTCTCTCTTTTAAACAACTCCTTTCTATTAAACGCCCCTCCTTGAACCCCTATTATTAAACTGAGACGCCCCGGACGTTTATTAGGTCTTTTACGGTCTTCCAGTACCAGTTCCATATAGTTTTCCAGTAGCTACCACGAAGAAAAGTTCCTGTTTGAGAACAATGAAAACCAAAAGGAAAGATAACTGTGAAGCGCTGAGCAATATCTAGGCCCGCTGTTTAAAAGTCGTTTTCTCAAAAAGATGTGTACATTGTTCACAAGTTACAAAATAAAAATTTCTTGTTTTAGCAGTTTATTGTGTTGGGAGAAAAAAAAACAATAATGCGTTTGTACTCACTTGGAATGTTTTAAAACTACATTTTTATAATTATTTCAGTTTTATTTTGTTTTCTTGTAAGATTTTACTGCAGATGAATTGAGAATTGATTTCATATTCAAGAGATTTTCTCAGTTTGTAGCAACAAAAGAAGAAAGAGAGAAAGTTAAACATCAAGTGAAATTGTTATCAGTGATTTCAACTCATCATATTGTGACTATCATAATACATAATTTTGCTAAGACTGGGAAACATTTTAAAGAGATTGTCTGCATCTCCCAGAAACCACATGAAGGTCTACTTTCATTTATATCTGTAAACTATAATACAAATATCATATTTTTATTTCCTCAGGCCAAAAACCAAAAACACAAACCAGCACCTGAGGACTTCCAAACTGGGAATGTAACGTTTCTATCGCAACACTGACTCGTCGAATTGATTGCAAATATGATAAGTTTTCATCTCAAATATGGATGCGGCTTTGTTCAGTTTACTATAATTATAGTTCTTGTCTTACTCAATGAAAGCTGTTCAGCAGAAGGTGAGGACAAAACATATATGTATAACCAGCAAAAATAGAAGGAATGAAGTAAGAGAACATTTTGAACAAGCATGTCAGTATTGACTCACTAACGATTTTACACAGAATGTCTTCTTAATATTGTTAGTTCAATGTTTGACGAAAAACGTCTTTAACTTAAAAGCGAGTTTTGTGACAACTTAACGAAAGATTTATCTTTACATGCCCATTCTCAAAGACTTTCAAAGACATAGCAGGCACAGTTCCTCAGTATTGTTATTAATTTTTTTATATTTTTATCTACTTATCACGCTGACCTGGTTTTTTTCGCTTATCTTTTAGCAGAATTATACGCACTTGGCTTCAGTTGAATCCCTTTTTCTGAACTAAGGGTGGATTTATTTGCAACATAAGGCAACTGCCATTTATTAGAGGGGGGGGAGGGCTAGTGCAATTTTTTTCCCAGGTGAATTTTTTTATGCCCTCCCCCAATTTCCTGCCAAGAAACTGTAACCCTCCCCCTTATATGGCCCAAAAAAGTTACGACCCCCCGCACAGCACGCTAAAACATATGACATGGATTATTAAACGATATAAACTTTTACCTTGTGCAGTTCATAACAGAAAGCGTGTTGCTGTTCTCCCTGATCTTGTACAGGTAGCAACACGAGGGGAATTGTCATAATCGTCCACCTCCTCATCTTGATCCCTCATCCTCTTCTTAAAGAGTGGCTCATACCAACACTTTGTCACTATCAAACTGTTCCTGTTGCGTTGCCGAGTTTGTTAAATTACTTAATATATGTCTTTGCACTTCAATCAATTTACCTTTCTTCAAAGGATGAGTCTTCAGATGACGGTAGTCTATGTATTTGTCCAACACAGCACCTGTTTGCTTACTCAGAGTCCCAGCATGCTAACCCAATCATAGTCTTTATAAGTCATTTTAGCTTTAACGGTAGGCTTCTCCAGTCTCTCTTTCTTTCTCTTTTCCTTCTTTAGCCCCAACAATTTCAAGTGCTCCAAATATGTTTTCACACATCCTTCTGATACAACAAACCCCTGTGCGAATTTTGAAATGCTGTCAAGAACTTCCCGTGAGCATTCACCAGACTGATATGCATTCTTTGACTGGGTTCGTGGTAAATAATCGTCAACGGTTCTCTCGACTGTTGGTGTCATGTCCACAGGTAGGTAGTGAAATCCAGGCCTTTGATAATCAGGAATGGCCTTGGAATGCGCTCAGTCTGACTACAACACTTTCCACTTGACTTGCAAAAGTCACATAGTTTGCCGCTGGCAAATTTCACAAGCCTCTTCTGGTATTGAAGAAACATCTCTCCGATTTGGAAGTGAATGTCAATAAATGAATATATCTTCTTGTAGTATCTGCATCAGATAATTTCTGTTGAAAAAAAATTGATTTTTTCAGAAGTTGTAACATGACATTTAACAAAGTCTCCAGCAGGCCCTGGCTCATCATCCACCATGGCTGCTATAACTCCTGGGCTACTTGCCATGCATTCTTTTCCATCCAGTCTTTCTCTTTTTGCTTTACTTCATCCGCTGATAGTGCACCAATCTCCAAAGCTGTCGTGCTGTCAAATGGCTTAAAATATTGCCATCTCAATACTGATCCATCGACAAGGGAATCACCAATTGCTGCATTTGTTCTTTCTGCTTCATTTTGAGCAGAGCCCCCGGAACCACGATGGATTCGGTTGACACGATCAGATGAATGAATGCGGGCAATTTCTGCGTCCCTGAAACGAACCTCGGTATTGGCTATTCCCACTCTAGGCCTGCATCTTTGGTCTTCATGATGCTACAACACCTTCTAAGTAGGTTCAAACAATCGGCTATTTTCCTAAGATACTGGGAGCATTCACTTAAAAGGTTCTCCATTGGGTCCCACAGCTTCTCTTGTTTTACTTAGATAAGCATATCTCTTTGTAGTGAGGCTGCGTTTTCTTTAACGTTGGAAAGTTTTTCCAGCAACTAATTTGCCAATGTTCCTTCAGATTCTTTGGCCCTTTCTTTATCCTCTGTCCAAATCCTCATGATTTCGTCAAGTTGATTTTCGACAAGCCACGCAAGTTTCTCATTCTCATAGCACTAATACTGGCAGCCAGTTTTGGGGGTAGCACATATCATTTCTTCTTCCATGCATTGCATTAAAAGACCATTTTCTACGCAACAGTTGACATACATGTAGGGTTGTTGGGTTGCTAAGGTTGATCATTATTACAGTTTAAAATGCTTACTGTGTAAGGGACTTATTTGTTTGATAATATATTTTATTTGTTTATTATTATATTTTCATTTTATGTGAACTGCAATGTTTACAAAAACTGGTATGGCCCTCAGTAAAGCCGAGCTTAAATTTTTTGGTACCCTCCTCTTTTTGACTCCATAAGATTTAATGACCCTTCCCCCATTTGCAACAGCCCCCGCCCCCCTAATAAATGACAGGTCCCTAAGCGTATAGCAGTCGCATTAAATCGAATTTTTTATTGTTAAGATTCACTCCAGTTATGTTCCGTCTCCATTGCTCAATCTAAACTGTTTTCTTTAAGAACTCTATTAATTTGATTACCAAAATGGATTTTGTTCGATGTTTACATGCAGGAAGGAATATATCCCAGAAAAAGATGGAAGATGATGAGGAACGATTGTTCAACCATTTGTTTGCAAACTACAATCCTCGGCTTCGCCCAGTCCTGAAAAAGTCTGAAGCAGTCACTGTAACGTTCGGAATTTCACTTCATCAAATTATCGATGTGGTGAGTCTTCAGTTCCGGGCAGTATTGACAGTATTTTTTTAAGCTGCGTGGTCTCTGCTGTTCAAAAATGAAATCAGAATACTAGGAAAAGAAGCTGTTCTGATCGATAATATTAAACTTTTGAGGACTATACTGAGAGTAATTTCAAGTTAAGTTTTTTTCGCACCGTTTTCGGCGCTAATTTTTTCAAAAACGCGCGATACTGACTGGTAACCATAAACAAGGGTCTTCATATTTAGTGATTTCGTTTGTCCTTTTTCGTTAAACAGTTGCTTTTAGTATTGATTGATAAGTACTGCAAACTACATCTTACCTCGCGTTTTGTGATCTATTGCTCTTTAAGGATGAAAAGAATCAATTACTACAGACCAGTCTATGGATTCGACAGGTAAAAACCTTTAACACTGGTTAAAATTGCACTTGTTCATACAGATGTAATTTGCACCGGAGGCAAAAAGCACGAGTAACCCAATGTATTTTCTGCATTCTGCTAGCCTATTGCCACTCTTAGACTGGCTATTTCACTAGCCACAAACGACTGCAGGTGACAGAGTTACAAGAATGATAACAAGCTATTGCATATGATGTAAATCTGCAGTGATTATTGGCAACTGACTAAGTCCTAGTTCACAGGAACCGCATATTTTTATACGAATCGGCCTTCTATCCTCACGAAACCAGTTACCACCGCTCAGCGGAACTGCATCTTTTTAAATTAATCTCCAGACTTTTTTAACATGGAATTTGCTTGGAAAACAATGAGATTACTTCTTGTGCACACAGGTCACCTCACTGAAAGTAATCAACAGAGAACAAGATTGAGATATAGTAGGTGTATATTCCCAGTCCCCGGCACTCCCGGCCTAGTAAAGGAAACACTCTATCTCTCTAATAGCTCTGTAAAATTTGAGATTAAAAACCAAAAAATGGTTTATCATGAACAGAATATTGTTTTATCAGTTTTTTATTCTTCTAGGTGTGCCCAAGTCACTACAACTAAATGCATACGTTTTTTCCCATTTTAGGCATGGCATAATCCTTTTCTGGGATGGAATAAATCAGAGTTTGGAGGAATCAAATCCATTAATGTCAAGGCCTTCGAGGTGTGGACACCTGATATATACCTTTACAACAAGTGAGTTCTTTACTCATGAAATATTACTTTAAAGGGAAAACATTTGGAATAACTCCTTTTGTTAAATTGTAAATCGATTGTTACAGTTCTAAAAGAAAAGTGTTATCGTAATCATTGATGCTGGGTGACTAAGTACAGCATAACTATATGGTGTACCATGACAAGCGCAGTTAGGAAATTTTCATTTCTTTTAAATTAGATGAGAATAATTGAAAGTTTACGGTTTAGAATTGCAACTATTTGACTATTTGTTTTCATTAGTGTGATACCTCGCTACAGCGACTAAGCGGCTCCAGCGCAATGAAGATAGCATTTCCCTATGCATTTTAGTCAACACATACTTTCACCCGAGTCATAAAAACAATCCTACTTTCATTTGTTTAGTGCAAATAATGAACGTGAAGGTGGAATGGATCAGTTTAAAACACAAATAGTTATAAATTCGTCTGGATGGAACATGTGGCTCTCACCAGCTATTATAATAAGTTCTTGTAAAATGGATGTTAAATATTTCCCTTTTGATACACAGGTAAAGTTTATCTTTGTTCTTGTTAAAGATGATAAGTCACTTGTGATAAGAATCGAATCTCTTTCTCCTACCTAAGTACGACATGGGACAACAGAAACTGAGTATATTTGACAAGCTTGAAGAAGAGTTTTATCATTTACTAACATGCGCATTTTCACATATTACCCTGCCTTATCCTGTAATAACCCTGTTGTTTTATGACAAAAACACTAACTGTTTTGGAAATATTCTTTCTTCCGTATATTCTCTGGAAGTAGGTATTCATGAAGTATGATTATTTACTCAATAAGATTTTTTCGGTTTCTAGGTGGCTTTGCATGCCCAATCTTGACAAAAGACCTCCTGATTGCAACTTTGAAGCAAATCCGGAGATCCCGAAAACTATATCTAACCCGGCTATCCTTGTTGATCGAGTATTGCGCACCATTAACTTGAACTGGACCCGTTATTCTTTTTGTGGGCAGGAATCTCATTAAGGAGGGTAGGACTAAATTAACACCGATGATGTCATAGCCGTTTGCTATTTTTATCTGGGTTAGGTTTATACTGCCATAAGAGTTCATAAGAAAACAGTACAATAAGACTTTCACTTGAGTCCGTCCGCTATATACTTTGGGTCAAACAAAACAACAGAAAATTATTAAACTTTATTTTATTGTACCAGGTTAAAACTTCCCTATACGTTGCATAAGCAAAAACAACAACAGCAAAAGAACACTGCCAGAAAAGAAATATACAGCAATACAGGAGAGCACTTTATGAAGAATGGCCACAAATAGTTAAGCAACTGAGTTTTAAAAAAAAAATTCATGTTTTATCCAGCTGAAAAATGCTGTCTTTGTTTGTTCAACAGTTTTGTCTTTTGAAGTTTGGTTCCTGGACTTACGATACTTTCCGCGTAAACATAGTGCGATAAGCACCATTTGTAGAAACAGACAAGTTCGTCGGTAATGGCGAATGGAAACGCATCGCATTTCCTGCAGTGAGAAATGAAATTTACCACGTTTGCTGTCCCGAGCCTTATCCTGATATCACATTCACTCTGCAGATACAAAGATTAGCATTGTTCTATTATATAAATCTGGTCATCCCATGTGTTTTAATTACAGGTACGACAGTTAAAATATAAGAAGCTTATTTGGCAAACACAGCAACCATTTTTAGTCAGCTCATCCAAGGTCCGACGAATTATTTCCCTCGTTAGATAGGAGCTAAAGAAAGGGCGGATATATCGTAGGTTAACATCTTGAAGCTTTTGAAGTCAGCCTTCGATTTTCTTTCCATTCAGTATAACCAGGCCAGTCAGTTGTTTAAAACCAAAATGAAGTCATCCACCAGAAAAATCCATCCTTGAAGTTGATAACATTGACAGCATTTATTGACTGCTAGAGGGCGGTGGTCAGTAAGTGATCATTAAGTCGAGCCAAACAAGTTTTAATAGCTAACCTCCGTGTTATAGATACATGTAGCTAATAGTGAGAGTGAGTATAACCTTAGTTCACCAAAAGCAGTCATTTTGATGGTAATTGACCGACCAATTATCTATTCGTAAATAATTTTACTCAATGGAAGCAGGGCATTCAGAAGGCACTCAGTCGCCTCCAAAGCCTCTTTAAGGGCTGTTTTAAAATTTTTCATGTTAAGTCACATACATTCATAGAGTTTATACAGGGGCACCCAACGAGAATAGAGTTCAAAGCCACATAAACATAGCATTGTTGAACGTACTTTAGTATTTAAACGGTAGGTAAAGGCTTATTTTTATCCCCTAAAAATTTTTCATCTGTTCGGATTTCCTAGCTGAAAGTATAGTGAACCGAAAATTATAGGGATCAAAATTTACCTTTTCGAAAATTTCAGCCAGAAAAAAGGCTCCCGAAAATTCTAGGTGACCTTTTTAGGGTAAAAATCCGTCAAAAATGGGCAATTATACGACTTTTTTGATGTTCGAAAATCCTAGGAGAGGCAGGCAAGCAAGAAATTTTACAGAAATGATCCGAAAATTCTAGATCTCAAATCGTCTTCCGAACAGATAATTTTCCGAAAATTGTCGTTGGGTGCCCCTGTTTATATTAACAATGGATATGAACACGTGGAAGCGTGGGATTCTTGCGGACCCTTTGAGGTCGTATCTTGTCCGTTGATCGACAGTATTTCCTGTAAACAAAACAAAACGATCCAGTTCTTTAGGGTTTGTCAGGTGACCAACTTTCTAGGGTTTGTTTAATGAAACGTAATAAAGAAAATGATTTCACACGCCTAATTTGTTTTTGCGAAAATAAAAAGCTCCTAGATCGTTCATTATTTTGCTCCATTTTCTCGACGTAAATGAATGAATCTAGTTCCAGAAATGGCGACTGGGCTGAATCCACTAATCATCACGTGTTATTATCTTGAACTCAGTGTTGACTGTGACAGCCTTTTGCCTCCCCCCTGCGTCCGGTGAGCGCATCACCCTGGTGATTACCAATCTACTGGCCATGACTGTGTTCATGCTGCTTGTTGCCGATATTATGCCATCAACTTCAGAAGTTATACCCGTCATCTCCATTTACTTCAGTGGAACAATATTTGAGGTATGTTAACCAAACAAAGTTTTGACTGGCTACCATCATTGTCTTTAAATCCTGTTACACGATCTGTTCCCTGGATTGCTTGTGGTTATACAGGACATATATTTTCACTTGAGGGGAACAAGTATGTTATACCATCTTCTCCGGATGACTTGCCAGTAGTTATTTTAGTCATCTATATCTACTTTATCTGTGAAAAAAAAAAGTTTTTTTGGTTGCAACAAGTGTTATCAACACTGATCTGATATGTGTTCGGCTACTGCATGTGTTCAGCAGTTAAGCCAACCATATTCACTGTACTACTTTTATCGTACAATAATTGGGGTGTTTAAAACCCTTTCGTCAGGTTAGGTTTTTTATCAGAAAGGAGCTTTTGATTATCGCAAGAAAAAAAATTGAGGAATTTGAAAGATCCGGGCAAACTGAGGCACTGCCCCTAGAATAATAGAGAGCCACTGGGCTGCTGGCCTGATAGACCATTTATTATGTTAAATATCCGACATCCCGGGAGCAAAATCTATAATCCCGTTTCTTTTACTTTCCATTTCTGTATCTTGTTGATCACAAACCCATACAGTCATACAGAAGAACTAATTATTGCATGCATCTGATATAATTGCTCATTCCCAGGTTGCCTTGGCTCTGTTGGCTACGTGCATCATTCTCAAATGTCATTTTCAAGACCCCAGTTTATCAGACATGCCCATCTGGGTCCGACATGTTGTGTTCAAATGGATGGCTCCATTATTACGCTTTAAACTTCCAAAAAACCGTAAACCCAAACGGATAAACATAACTGATATGTACAGTGTTATTACCGAAGTAACGGAGTCAACCCCTAACAACAAAGTGTACGGACAGAAAGTTCCGAAGAATATGGTGGCATCCTCGAATGAAGCGCTGTTTCCTCGGAGTAATGAAATTAACCAATCCATCGTGAGACAGCTTTCTTATTTAAACCTAGTAAATGGCAACCACAGATCAAGCCAGACAGTTAACCGCCAAGTGGATCAGGGCTTAAGATCAAGGCTGACCGTTACTCATGCCGAAGACTGGTGCCGACCATCAACAACTGCAAGCCTTTGCAGCAATGAAAACCGTGACGAGCAGCATAACAGTGTGACATGCGTGGTCACTGAGCCGCCGACAGTAAACAGCAGTGACAAGCGTATGGATGAGCTCTTAAAAATGCAGACAAAGTTATTGGAATATGTCCAACCTCGTCCCCAGGGCTTTTCCCTTAAAAAATTTTTTAAGGGAAAAGCCTTGGGGACGAGGTTGGGAATATGTCCAGATGTTGGCTAATGTCGCTACCGAAAACGAACAATTGAAAGAAAAGAAGTACGAGTGGAGTCTGGTTGCATCCATCTTTGATCAAGCTTTTCGAATTGCCTTTTTAATCATGATATTCTTATCAACTTTGTCAATCCTCTAGATCTCAAGGAGTTAAAACTAACGACTTGTGTTTTAGACACCTTGCCAACAATGATTAAAAAGTAACTGACAAAAGTCAGTCAGTCGTTTTATATTCATTATTAGAAGGAAGGGACATAAATAGCACTTAACGCATGTTTAACTTATGAATAGCCTGGTTTTTAACGATTGGGGTACGTATTTTTACCTCAGCGTTAAATAACAACAACATCACACAGTTTCCAAGTTTTAACAGAGTTTTCTTTCAGCAGAGAAGTTCAGGCTGTCGCGTGACAACATTTCAAAAGCGAAAATAGATGAAAAGAATAAAACATAATAAAAATATGTTCCTATACCGAACTACTGGTGTTCATAGCAGCAACAAACAATCATCGGTAACTGATCAAAGATTAAAATTAAGTAAATAATACAGTACATAAAGTTACATCACGACTGTTGGTGAAATTCAATGATTGACGGAGTCAAGCAAAACTAACTGTGAGAGAACGACTGGACAACTGAAAATTTACTCCCATGAAACGACAAGTTAACTGTGATAATAGACGGATCTAAAATCACCAATGACAGTACGAGTCTTTATAGCCAATAACATCAGGGCTTAACTGACAGACGACCATTAACATCGCGACTTAATTGACCAATGAGCTCAATAACCATAGTTTAATACCATCAACTGACGTGATACAACTCACTTTGACTCTGAAGATGACTACCGCACAGGTTATTGAAAAGGCAGTCACTGTCAACAACAACAGTCCTATTCAGGACTACGTTCATCATTCTCAACCTACTTATAACTGATCATTGTTTGGCACGAATATCGAAAGATGATGAAATAAACCATAATGATTACATTAATGTAATCGTAACCCACATCTCCATTTTGCTCTCCTCGATTTCGACCTCGTTGACGAAGTAGTCTCGATGAGGTATCGAAATGGGCTTCTTTATCCAAATAAAGTAGAACCTCCATTCATGGGACACCTTCGGGACCATGAGAGCAAATATCCCCTGATATCGTGCGTACTTAAACAAATCGACGATTTTAGTGGTCAGTCATTTTTTGAGTGCTAAGGATCTCCCCTGAATGGAGGTGAAATCAAGGTTTCGGGACCCACAAAAGTGTCCCTTTCCCCTGAATTAATGTTCTGTTGTATTGGTATGATCACAGCTGTTGGCCTGGCAAGTTAAAAAGTAGTATCTTCGAATTGATATTCTATATTATGGAATTAAAAAGACACTGAGAAATTGTTTAACTATTTTTGGATCACAGTTATCGTTTTGGAGGATGATCCAAGAGATATTCAACAACAACTCTAAATTCGTAAAACAAGAACGATGGTGAAGTGGCAATTACTTGCAAGGGTAGAATTCTTAATGAAATCGACGAACCGTGGCGAGCACGGCTGAAACACTCACTTGATTTTGATATGGCCAGAAGATATCGGCTTCTTGAAAGTGAACCCCACTCTAGCTATAGTTCCAAACCAAAGCCCACTCAAAAGATTTGTGTCCACCTTGACAGCTAGCGAACTTTCTAGAGTAGCTTACAAGGAATTCCTAATTGGCGCTTACTGAAACGGTCAGTCATCTCTGATCAGGGAACCCCTCCCACCCTCTCCTGGGAAGATTGATCTCCGGCATTTTCCCCAGTGTTACACTTACATAAAAATCAAGATGGCAACCGTTACCGTAAGCGCTGGGTCTGGACGATCTTAGGTAAAAATGGTCTCCTGTTCAAATTTTAAGCCCCTCCCATTCAATCTCATGGCCAGTATGGCCAGCCTTACATGAAAAGTTATAGGCTTTTTCGAAGGAGTATGGTAAATATTATGGTGAGTGATTTTAAAATAAGCTAAATACTCTTTATTTAACTTTTTACGATCTATAATCTGCATAATTTAAACCACTATCAACAAACAGACTACTATTCGATACTATTCGATCGTCGTCTGATTAACAAATGAATTTCACAGGGGGCACTAGTTATTTAGTTAGAAGAACTGTTATGTCGCAAATATACGTTCCTGTACAATATTTCTTTGTCAATAAACTCTACAAATTCTGCCAACATCACCAAGCTTAAGTACAATTAGACCTGAGCTGGCGTAATCGACCTCGCGCAATCGCATAAAAAAAAACTATATCCTTCAAATAAATCTGGAGGCCTATTGAAAAAAAAATATAAATGCTATTCCCTCGCAAAGGGAGGTATATAAATTTATCGGAATTCGCATCGCGTGTGGATCGCTTAGGGAGGTAAAATCGCGGGTGGCTTTAATTTCATCATATCGTTAGGGTATACGCCAGTTGCCCAGAAACAAAAACTCTATGGAAGCAAAAGGATCTTCGCAAACAACTATGTATTGTTCACAGTACATTGGAGAAAAATTTGGGAAAGAAACAAGAATCCTGTTACTGTATGTGACAGCAGCTACTATGTTGAGATGGCGTACTGAACCCTAACCCTAACCCATTTCTTTTTACATCTATACTAATATGACGGTGGGTAATTATCTAATAAATATTCTTCTTCGTTTCTTTTCAATTACAAAGTTCAACAGGTACATTATGTATACCTGTGAGCATGTTCATAATGATACGTTTCTGTATGTTATCAGTAAATAAATTGTCGGTCTTTTTCGGGAGGTCATTCCCATGCATAACTCGGAGCCTGCATGAAAATAACCACAGTGGAGAGGCATAATATGAAGAAAAACAGCCAAAGAAAAAATTTGTCTATAATAGCAGCAACAAGCTGCCATTCCTCTTTCATGAGATCTCCTCTCTCTTGCTCACGAATATATCGGACAATCTCTCCCACATCCTTAGAAAGAGAACTCTGGGTTTCCAGCAAAGTCCTTTTTGTAGGATCAGCATCTGTAACGTCGTCTGCTGATTTGCCGTGTAAGTTGGTGAATAGAGGTTGGGATTCATTATCCAATAAGTTGTTTCTGGAGTTTGCGCGACTAGCGGTACGGCTCTGTAATCGGCTTGGCATGCGGAAGTGATTAGGGATACCATCTCGAAAGGCACCACCCAGATTATCGAAAATTGGGGGCATGCTGTGGCGATTGTTAGCGGCTGCTTTGACCCGTAGAAGATTCAAATGTGGATGAAGATCTCCTGATAAACTTGATTCAGAATTCTTGAAATGACTGTGCGAAGATGACTGCAGTCGTGAAATGTTGGGAATTTTCTTGTGGACGGCAGTTTCCGGATCTATGTTGTCATTTTCATCTGTTTCGGGCAGTTTTGGCTGAGAGGGTTCCTTTGCATCAATACCATGAAGGATTTTCTTCACCGGTACTCTAGTAAGACGAGCCATCCAGCCAAGGACTACGTGACGAACCCAGTTTGGAACAGGCGTGTGGGAAGGATTGTTGAAATAGCATCTCAAAACTAGGCAAGTTGCAACCAGCGCCAGGGCCACCTAACAAGAATACAAAGGTCTTATGTCACATGTGCAATCAAACATTTAAACATTAACCATTTTCTTCTGCATTCCGGAACAAATACAAATGAACCTAAAGATAAACTTTCAAATACGCTGCATTTTGCTGCCACGCAAGGCTGTCTCACTGAGAAAGAATAATTTCTGAAAATGAAAGATGTTTTACTGACCTCAAACACACTTCCGTAGAAGTAGACGGAAATGAGAGGAACGGTCTCTGAAGTAGCCGGAATGATTTCCACAACAAGTAACATGAACACAGTCAAAGCCAGCAAATTTGTTATGACAAGCGTCAGACGCTCACCGGATTCAGGAGGTAAATAAAACGACAAAAGCGTTAAGGCTGTGGAAACAGAAGAAAACAAGTCAAAACCAAACCATAACCAATGGAGGTAAACATACTAAAGCATGGTATTTTATGGTGGAGTTTCGCATGCTGAGCAACAGTTATTTCAAAAGTGACCATTTGTTTTTGAAAACTGTCTAGCATAAAGTTCAAAATAATGATGGACCAGAGACTACTGAAGAAAAAACAGTCTAAACAGTATAGTAATATAATAGTGCGAACCTTGGCTCTAAGAAGCTACAGCTATAATGAAAGGTATGGTTTTCACTGAGGACATAAACATTTAAAGACGGCTGTAGTTGTAAATGAACAAATTAAAATGAATAGTAAAAGTCAATTTTGTGGGACGCTGGATTAATTGATCCCTATGAATGTTCCGCTTTGATCTGATAAGCAATGGCTGATCCAGAAAGCTGCGATAGGTAGGTAGGTAGCAGCTTTATTTAATGAGGGTAACACTTGACATTAAACACTGATGAACTGGTGGCCCTGTTTGAAACTTTCCCAGCTAACCTAGAGGAATTCAAAAAGAAATCATGATCAACATGGAACGTACTTATTCCAAAAGACTTCTTTCCTTTCACATGTTGCAATCCTAAAAAGCTGTTCCAAGGGAGAATGACCGGTACCGGTAACTTCTTTAACAGGGGCTCAATGCCTCTTAATCTTTAACAAAACCTACCTGCCGCGTAACAGGCGTTGCACGAAGCACGAAGCGCGAGGTCTTTAAGGATCATTCTCACTAGGCTTCCAGGACGTAGAGCAGGGAGAAAGGGGACATGGGGACGAGAAATCACTCAGGCTTAAGAATAAAACACGCGGAGCAGTAAATGAAAGGACAACATACCTGATATTAGGAAGCATGGAGCAATCAAATTGACAAAGTAAAACATATGACGGCGCCGTAAATCCATTGTGTACGTTATATCAGGATAAGGTTCAGGGCAGCATGCATAAAACTGCTGGTTTCGTTTGCAAGGCATACTATTGAGGTCCCACTCTCCATGCCGAATGAATTTCTTAATATCTCCAGTACACTCTTTTGGGTGCCCCTCTGGGACAAGATCAAGTCTTAAGCCATCGTACGTCCATGAGCCAAATTTCATCTTGCACACCTACCCAGCAAACAGAAAAATAGCATAAGACAATGAGGACTGATCAACGAAAAATTTGAATTGGTATTCTATTACTATGTGGTTTCGTGCCACACAACTGCGGCAGCACTTTCAGATGTATAATTAACAATTATTCCTCAAGCCCGAATGGGCTCTGAGTCAAAAGCCCATGAGGCCGAAGGCCGAATGGGCTATTGACTCAGAGGCCATGAGGGCCAGAGGAATAATTGTTGTAGTAAAATCCAACTAGTTGGTCAAAAATATCGAAAATAAAAAAATTCTGGCTAGTTAAAGCTAGACTTTAATCCTTTTTTGCCGCCAAAAAGCCCTCGCATTTCGCTACTAGGGGGGGCTATAACATGTAGCCTAGTAGTAGCTCAACCAATCAGAACGCAGCATTGATAATAGACCACTAGTTGGATTTTACTAATAACAGATATTTTCTTCTGGTTTCGATCAATAGTTGGCAAACTGATTCAAGCCATAAAGTGTAGAAATATGAACCGGTATTTGTGTAATAAATATTTGCGATGATCTAAGTTGTAGAGGTTATTCTGAAATAAAATGAGCTAAATATTCTATAACTCGGTCTTGACTATTACCACCAGCAGAAGTGAATACCTTGTTTATTTACCTGCCTGTCAAAAGGGAAATATGTGACGTCAAATTTGCAAGAGCTTGAGACAATCTTGGGTGCCATCCACATGATCATTCCAGTCGACTGTACAACAATTTTTGTTTTGAAACGATCCAAGGCTCCATCATCAGAATCATCCACACTAAGACCAAAAAAATCATCATTTTAACACAGCCTGCGTTTAAGACAAATCTGTAGTGCAGGCAAAACTAAGAATCCTAAGCACAAAATTCGACGGGAAACTGGATTTATTATATTCATACTGGGAAATACTAACTGATAAGCTACGTCGCAAATTTTCATACGCAAATGAGTTCTAGCCAATCAAAGGAGCAAACGATGTTTTTTCACGTGTAAGAAAAATGATACGTCCAATAAAAAGCCACAGCGGTGTGTGAGTTTCGCGCCAAAATTTCCGCCTTTTGAAGGCACTTGCAGCTTGCAGCGCCTTCGCTTTGCGAGTTGCATCGCAGACATTTAACAAGAAAAATCCACTAAGCATTTGAAACAAAAGACGAGCGAAATGATAAGCGCAATGCCACATGGAATATACTTTGTACGATATTAACGCACTCGTTACTTCGCGCTCTCGTCCTATTTATGATACGTCAACAACTCGTGCGTAGGTTCTCGGCGATTCACAGACGTCTCTCTTCCCTATTTTTTCTGAGGGGAGGGGGAGTCTGTACACAGGCTAATTGATGTTCCTTATTGTAAAATAGTCAATATCTCAAAGGAGGTATTTGAAACAGAGCTTGTTCTGAACCTTATATTCATGACGGCTGTGCCTTGAAGGCACATCTTCTAGGGAATTGGACAGTTTGCCCACTGTAAAGAGCTCTTCTTATTTCTTAAACTACCCATATAACACTGCTGCACGCAGCACTGACAACACTTAATAAAATGAAATACAGGTGTATTAAAGATACTTGGTCTCGGTGGAAATAAGTGAAGTGTTTATCCTAGGAGTACAAATTGGCATCAATCACGGACAGAATTTGATCTTCCCAGACCCCTAAATTTCCATAAGCTCCGCCGTTAGGTAATTGTTGTATCGATATATGCTGTTCACTTGAAATAACTTTAATCAGAAAGGATTTTATTCAGTTATCAAATAGCACTGGACGAAACTGATTGGAAAAATGAAAAACACAACCCGTACACTATAACCCTAGTTATATTTCAGTTCCTGGAAAGAGTAAGTTAACCAAAAAGCCAAAGAAATTTTACTTACTTATTATACAAAAAAATATCAGGTTTCCACATTTTGCTCTCATGAACGTTGACTGCTGTTATTCCACCAAATTCGGAACTGTTCCACTTTAAAAACGGATTGTGCCATGACTGTGAAGTAAATAGTTTATTTCTATGGATTAAGCTGCAATGTGAATATTTTTATTTAAGATTAAAAGGCACTTTTTATATTACTTAATTCTTATTGTACAGGCAGTAAATGAAAAATATCGGAAGAAGCTTTCAGCAATAAAATGAGATGCATGAAAACAAATTATGCAAAAGGTAGCAGGCAGTATGACAGTCCTTAACTCTGACTAAGGAGATAGTTGGTTTTCAAAAGGCTTGAGAAAAATGCATCCAAAATGAGAACATCATTAAAAAACACTAATCAAGAATGAATTACTACTACCCCTAGTACCTGTCGAATCCAAACGCTACTCTTCACAATTTGATTCTTAAAGTCCTGAAAAGTCAAACAGTCTACTTCAGATGTTATGTTTGAGATGCTGTTCAATAGACCTGAGCCGCGTCCACTATGAGTCCACCATCATAATGGATGGCAACTGTGATTAATTAATTACTAAGACATGACCCGCATACTGTACAGCCTGATAAGCAGAAACATGATGCAGATCCTGTATTAAGACAGGAAATTATTGATTCAGGGTGATAAAAAGAACTCCTAAACTTAGCATGAAAAAGTTTGAAGTTTACGGAATATTTGGGAGGATTAAGATTTATGATCTCGATAATTTGAGCAAGAGGCCTTTATTTAACAAATTTTTAGCATAATAATCACGAATAAAAAAAATCCCATCTGTTGGTATCGCTCGTCTTTGCTTCCCAATTACGCTTTCTTTTCTCTTTCTGAAACTGAGCACTGAATTTATTTTCCGCAATCATGCACTTTACTCGATCGCATTGTTGGAATAGTCTCTCGTACACAAAATTAAACAGTCTTTAAATAGATTTCAATTGTTTGATTCCGCCATTAAAATTCAAACAAACTCTAAAATACTTACAGATTTCACTTTTGATCAAAGTCATTTCCAGATCACTATTAAATCACTATTTCTCGACTCTTATGTGAACAGCAAAAAAAATGACCATTCCATCACACGGGATTTTATCTTTTGGGTAGCCTTTCACAAAAGAACACTCGAATTGTTCAAAAGAGCCACTCTAGGATTACGTAATTAAGGCTGATAATAAGAAAAGGCAATACACTAAGTTAAGGTATTTTTTAGAATAGCCAGACCACGGTTACCAAGCTTTAAAACAAATAAGTGGACTAGAAACGTCTCTGTAGACAACAACATGAATTCATCATTTGCTAGTTCTCGTTGTTTGTTTGTTTTTCTAGTATCCATTTTAAACACACTTTTTACCTGAAAAGTTGCCACCACATTCAATAGGAAACGAAATGTTAACAATAGACGTTAAAAACAATGGGTTGGTCTTAATGAGCTATTAGTTAATTAAAGATAAAGATAGTTATTTGACGAAATATTTTGAAACTAACCACTTCAATGATCTGATGTAGGGAGATACCAAACTTAACACGCACAGTATCGGTCTTTTTTTCCACAGGTCGTATCTCCGCATCAGATTTGCTGAGCAGATTACGTAACAGTCTTTTCTCATCGTCATCCGCTGCTTTCTTCTCAATTTTCTCTGTGTAGAAAAAATATATATTTAAAAATTAATTTTTATATGCGATCCTTTAAAAGAAAATATTCGGGAACAACCAAAGGTCAATTTCAGGGAGGTAGCTTTGATTAAAACATGCACCTATTTATTCAATATTTTTTCCTTTCTATGAATTTATTCAGTTACCTATCTATTGGTATGATAAAATAAACCTCAGTCCCACTAAAATGCTGGTAGACTGACGAATGGCGCAACCATGGGATACCTAGACTTGCTGACGAGTCGAGAGCTTTTTGAGCGACAAAATTCGTTTTTGAAGGCGGGTCGTCATATTGTCATCACTAAGTTTTCCCTTCTGACTGCTGAACCTGCAATAGTGTTCTTAAGAAAGTCTGCGGCAAGAGGCCAAATTTACCGACAACGCACCGAGTCTGTGTTCTTTTGGCCACCACCTGCATGCAGTTCATTACCGTCATAATTGCTGGATACGTAATTACTGACAACCTTTTCGATGTTTCTTGTTGGCGTCTATCACGGGAAATAAGTAGTTTACTTATTCAATTATTAATTTGTTAGTCTTTTTGTTTAATAGCATGTTTATCATTTGCGTGTGTTGTTGTACTTTTCGTGTGTTTTTTAAGCGCTTCTGGAACATTTCTAACAATGTGAGATCAGTTGGATGAGCAATCAACTAACATCAGTCGTACTGTTTTCTTTTTTATGACTGCTGTGAATCAAACAATTGTACGAATTAGTTGAATCGTGGTTCGTGAAAAGCTCAACTGTGCAATTTTCCCCTTTTTTCTGTAATTGTGCCAACAGGGAGCACAATGAGGCATTAGCCTTTTTAGATAAAGAACTCATTCACCAAAACATCCATCTTAATGCGGAAAACGTTGCCCTGATATATATCTATATTTATTTCCTTAACTATAAATAATGCTTTTAAGGATGTTAAAGTAATGTCATCCATTCAGCTTCTTTCATGTCAGTAAAGATTATTGCCATGAACGAGGTGTTCATTTGATAAATATAATCATCGGTTAGTGTGTTTGTTTTACTGTACAACCAGCACATCTCTACTAAAAAATACGGCAAACTCCGAATGTTTTCTTATACTTTGATAACAACAGCGCTATCAGTTTTTAAAAATTTGATAACGTGTGACAAAGCCGCGCCAAATTTTCTTGTGTTTTCTCCGCACTGGCGCATTCATGTGGTATTATCAGAAACAAGCTAGGCTGAACACAATCTATGTGTTTGTTATTCTTATTGGTAATTTCTGTCAATCGCGGCGTAAAAGTCATTGTAGCCAAAAGGTTTTGATACGGGTTTTTGAAAGTACACTAAGTTATACAACTCGTTCAGTAACGCGGCTCTGCAAACGATATAGAGGGTAGTAACTTGCGGGATCTGCGTCAAGGGAAAAAGTTCTCACACCAAAATGTATTAATATATCCAGTAAAACTAATGAAATTAGAAGCGTGTTAGGTGCTTTCTCTGCGTAATGAAGGTTCAAATGATAATAAAGTATAAGTGGACTTCTATAGCGCAGAGTTGGTTATAACATGTTCGTTTTGACTTTGCGGTCTATTACGTTAGCGTTCATCTGCTATGAAGAATATCATCAAAGACTAACCTTCAGCTTGTGAAACAACCCACAAAGAAAGTAAAACAATATTAAAATGTACGTAGTGCCACATGTTACTTTAGCCTTGGTGAACCTTCACCCATGAAGCGTTTTCTCTCTACTGAAGCTAGTGAAAGACTAACGGTGCGCAATCCTGCCGAACATTACATATTAACATATGATACCCACAGTTATTATCCCCGGGGCAACTACTTCGGATGATTGAGCCCAAGTTTATCTGTTTCCAAGAAACCGGTTTAAACTCTCGATGTAAACGTTTAATTTGACTTATTTAACCTCAAATTTCAAGCCGTTTGGCCGTAAAACTGTTCTTTTAAAGCAACGCCAAGACGTATCATCCAAAAGCCGCGTACGATTGAAAAACCGGAAGAGTAACAATGGTTTAATCGTTTCATGTTATGGTTGTTAAGAGAACCTCGCAACTCATGGGTCTTGTATTACTTTATAGGAAAAAACATAAAACGCAATTACGACAACATCTGAAATAAAGCTTGCATTAAATGTGCTGAGAGAAAACACTGGCAGTAGCTTTATTTAATTACAAATTATTGTCTTTTAGTTGAAAGGTTATGAAGCCAGTGAAGCGAGTTATAAAATGGCCGAACAATAATTTAAAGTAAGCACAAAAGGGTTTCACAGAAAATAAAACAATAAGGGTTTAACATATTTAGCTGACTGTAAAGTTCAGCTTAAAGTGGTTTTAAGCCAACTTCCTAGCTCTTCATAACAAAATTAGACCGTCAAGCTATTCGACTACTTCCTGTTGTTTTGCCGCTTATGATATATGTCACTATCACATAAATATGTCAGTTTCGGTTACGGTTAACATGCTAACCTGTCTAGCTATTAAACAAAAATTCAAACTATATATATAAAGGTTAATTAATCTTGCATCAGCAAAGCTTTGAGGGACTAGGGTTGAATTTTTAACCTCGTTAAAACCATGTTTTCTAAAACATCGTCTTTAAAGAAAATTCTCTGAGTCATTTACGCTTTGTTCTCGTGCTCTCTTCAAAATGGTTACTCTCTTCAAAACAGGGGCACCCAACGGCAATTTTCGGAAAATATCTGTTCGGACGACGATTTGAGACCTAGAATTTTCGGAACATTTGTCGTAAAATTTCTTGCTTGCCTGCCCCTCCTAGGATTTTCGAACATCTACAAAATGGTATAATTAACCATTTTTAACGGATTTTTACCCTAAAAAAGGCCACCTAGAAATTTCGGGAGCCTTTTCCTGGCTGAAATTTTCGAAAAGGTAAGTTTTGATCCCTATAATTTTCGGATCACTAGACTTTCAGCTAGGAAATTCCGAACAGATGAAAAGTTTTTAGGGGAGAAAAATATGTCTATATCTACCGTTTAAATACTAAAATACGTTCAACAATGCCATGTTAAGTGGTTTTGAACTATATCCTCGTTGGGCGCCCCTGTTCAAAAGCGTTACAACTTCGGCCCAGGCCAACTTCGTATGCCTGGTTATTTTGGGATACATGATTCCTCAAAAGTAATTATCTTATCACGTCAGAATGAACATTAGACCTGATTACCATTGTAGATCATCAGACGATAAAAAAAAACAGACCCTTGGATATTCCAATATTTCTGCGTCCCATTTTATTGTCTCTTATGTCATAAGTAGCATAATAATACAACAATACAATACAATACTTTATTTAAGGTGGCGTATACTCTTAGCTATAAAGATTAGTTAAGAAAAAAACTTTACCTGCCAATTCACAGGTATGCTACCGTAAATAAAATAATATAGAGACAGAAATTATTAAAACGAAATAAAAGTTGTTACAATTAAAATTAAGTTATCACACATAAAAATTATTTATAAAAATTGATTAAAAAGCCGACTTGTCGATACTAAGATAATGACTCATTTTCCGCCGTTTTCTGAACGTTTTAACTCGGACAACGCCCTTACGAAATCAGGCAAGTTGTTCCAGATCTTGAGCGCCTTATACCGCCACGAACTGAGTCCAAAGCTGTTTTGTCTAGATCCAGCACAGGTAGCCCAAGCTCGAAATATGAGCATCGGCGAGCATCGGCATTGTTGCGTAACATTCAAATTATAAGGATTTGTGGACCACACAGGAGAGACGTAACACACATTTTAAGTAAGGTAAGCTGTTTTTTATTGAAATCCTTTCATTTTCGTAGGTTACAGAAACGATAGGTTTTTTCCCATACAAATCCTTATATTTTGAATGTTACGCAACAATGCCGATGCTCGTCATGCTCATATTTCGAGCTTGGGCTACCTGTGGATCCAGCCGTCATATAACATGTTTTGGGAGTATTGCAGCTAAGCCTATTGGTTTCTAGCCATTTGCAGGTTGAATAAATTGATTCAATAAAGCGGCAACAAAGGGAATTGTCGGTGAGCCATACCTTTTAATGCTGTCTTAAACGATCTGCACCCTACAGGTCTTGACAAGTATCTTTTACCGTCGATGGACAAATTGATAATTCCCAACTAGCTCTATCACAGTTCTTGAACTGGACTCACTTGAACGATATGAAATGCAACACATCCAATTGTAAAGAAATAACTTTTCGAAAGAAGAAAAACACCACTAATTACCCTGCTATTTAAAATATTGCACAGCATGAAAACTTACATGACCATCTTTGTAAAGAGATCGTTCTTCCTAAAATAGTGTATGGTCTCCCTGTTTATGGCGCATGCCAGTAAAATGCTTCCTGAAAAGATGCTTTAAGAGGCGCTACTCCTGTAAACTTTATAATATCCACGAGGTCTTGGAAAAATGTGATAGAAAACTCTTCAACAAAATTAGTAGCGACAGTTCTAAGCCGTCTACTCGTTATTCATAGTAATAATAATAATGATAATGATGATAATGATAATAATGAGGGAGGTGAACGTCTGTGGGATTGAAAAGAAGTAGTGCTCAGTGTACGGATCGTCACCGGTGCCCTGGAAAAAGGCAGCAAAAGATTTTCATCTGTAGTAAAGGAAGCAGGACTTGACGGGACTAATGCAGCCATTTCAGAAAGCTTGTTAAATCCTAAATGGTCTACTTAAAATACACATTCTCTCCGCCACCAAGAACTCTAAAAAAAACTCTAAATCGCATTATTTAGACTCCATATCCTACTAGAAGTTATGACCACAGTGAACCTTGCACTCGCATCCTCGGCTGATATCCATTCGTACACTGAAAACAACAACGGGTTACAAAGATTAATTAAGGTCGTAGCTTTAAATATTCAAGAGGCTATACCGAGGTAGGCGCACTTTCCCAAACAGTCCCTTACCCGTCTCCCAATTCATTTCGGTCAGGCGAGTGACTTATTCAAATTTCCGTTTTTATCATTATAGCAAGATAATTTCCTTTCTTCGTCTTAGGAACTTGAGTCAGTTCAGAGTCAGTCACCGCTTTCACGTGACGCAAAATCTTCCGGATAGGAACACCACACTTTAAAAGTTACGGAGGGAATCAGCCATCCTTTTTCACCCTCTGTTTCTTTGCTTTGTGTTTCTATTTTGTTTTTACTTTTTATTTATCTTTGACGTTTTTATAGGTATGCCGGCTCGTGCATACTGGGGTACAGAAAGCTGCTGCAGTTTCTAATCCAAAGCGATGTAGCCTCCTGGATGTTGTTGCTGGCAGCCCGGTACACGGAATACAACTTTCTCCGTTGTTCATTTGTTTGAGTAGTAATTGTGCACGGAACAAGTAGTTAATAGCAACCGATCAAAGCTACAATAGCGCTTAACTTTTCTCATCACCTAACAGTGACAATAAATTAAGCTGCTTTTTGCCTAATTGCTTGCCGATAAGGTAAAATGGTTCTTAACATACTAATCCTCACTTCATTCTATTTCATTAAACCAAACCATATCGCTTTAATATTGCCGCGTTTAAAAAAAATTCTCTTAATTTAAGTAAATGTGTGGATTGTGTAGGTACTTAAGTAAAACAATTACTTTGCTTCTTTTATTTCAATTTCAATATAAAAGGTTTTAATGAAAGGTTTTCGAATCCATTTGCCGCAAGGGGAGTGACTGTATGTCAAAACTTTAAGCATTGAATTTTTTTTTGATGGATGAGTTTTTCGTTCCCGCGAGGTTATCAATAAGTTGGTCTGAAAAGTGTTTGGTAAACACTGAAAGGATTTTAAAACAGTTTTATTATTGTACATAAGATGCAATTAAAAAGAGAAGATAGATTGCATTTTAATCGAAGCTAATCCAGTTCTGTCCAGAGCTTGCTCAAAAGTACTGTTATCACCATCATCAAAGGCAATCAAAGCGAGGAAAACTACATCCATAGGTAATGTCGAACACTATCTCTTTGTTCGGTAAATTTGATTTACAGCCTAAACATTCCCCTCTTTAAAATAAGTATGTTGGAAAAGATCATTTGTTTTCGCATTAATGATAAGGCTTGGCTGTGTAGGATGTGGCAAGGGTACAAATTTCGAATTTGATTCCACTGAACAGCGGGGTAACGACCCCAGTGTGACGAAAATTATGACCAGTAACTCAAACCTGCAACAACAACCTGTCTGTTCGAGTCATTTGAAATTTATGGCCGAGAAACTAATCATTAAGATCTCTTTTTGACGAATGGTTTCCCTAGAAAAACAGCTCACAAGGTTTCAGCCGCCTTAACACCCGTCACAACTGAAATTGATATCTACGAGTGTGTTCAGTTTAGTTTCTTCAGACTTGCTTACGGTAAGAAAAGTTTTCCACCTTTTGTTTTACCTGAAAGAAAGCAGCCAATACGTTCAACGATTAAAATATACTCCCCAAAAGCTATCAGCCGCTAAAACTGTCGCTTACAGCTAGTGCAGGGCCCGAAAATAAAAAGTATTTTAGATTTCAGATTTCCTTTTAAAGAACCTTCGTTGACAAACAGTACTTGTTCCATTAACAGAAGCTCGGCACAGGTCCTTATTAGTCTCTCCTGATTCCAAATTGGTAACGATTGATTTTAACTCAGAGAGGCCGCTGTTCTAGGCAGATCTGTTTCATCAAAGAAAATATGATTTTTTTCCGACTTCTGTGAGATCTCCGTCAGTTTCGAGATGGACTTTTGATATAACCAACGCTGTTTTATGTGATTAGGATAAAGGTTATAGTAATATTCTAACCGGCCAAGTGTGACTAGGGTCTTACCAACTGCAGTAGTGAAGTCAACCACCCTTAAAAGATTCATTTTAAACAAAAATCAACGATGGCACCAAGTATTCTGACTTGTCTTAATTTGTGATTTCCGAAATGTCTAAAAACTCTATTTACCGCAATACAGAATAACTGCAGGAAGTTGGTTTTTGAGTTTCAGGATATTTGCCTTGAAGGTTGACCAGTTATTTCGATATATTTCCGTTTTCGTTCGTTTTACCTTTTTTTTTTATTCTGCTCATTGCCAACGAGCACCCTGCGCGGCGGCAGCATAGTAAAGCCGTGCGCGAAAGTTCCAAGGCAGAATGAATCTTGAAGCAATGTAACAGAAGGTAGTGTAAGATAACTTTTATGACGTAATGCAGAGCCGAGAATGCATTGTTTTCAGGGAACAAACGGTTTGAAATTAAGTACTAGAAACTCCTACGCTACATTTTAACCCCAAGTTAGCGTTAACCTGTTTTTAACTACTCAGCCCCGTTCACGGTCCTTACATGTAGTTGAGGCACTCAACGAACGATTCCAAATAAAATGTGCGTTCAATGACAGTAAATGACGGACCGACATGACTAACCTGCAGCCAGCATTCTCGTAAATTGCGGTAATTCATGGCATTTCCAAACAAATTGAACAGCGCGCGCGTATAAGTAACATTTTTGCTCGTCAATAGCTATAACTAGTTAGAGTTGTACGAAGGCTGCTGACGAATTCCCATTGAACTGCAATTTTATTATACAGCGTTAGCTTCAATAAGATTTACGTATGTATAAAGCTTTCGAGTGTTATACAGTGAAATATCCCACCACTGAATTGATTTTTCTTAGTCGTTAACGGGTTTGTTTTTGTTGCTCTCGGTTGGCAAATTTCTGAACTTTTTTGTTCATTATTGCCTGTTTGATTTCGTATTAAATTTCGTTTTGTATTTTTTTAACTTTGACTTTCAAATGCATACCGTCCACATATCAGCGATTATCATTTGATGCATTCCCAAGAAAACTATTACAAGGAAGTTTAAGAAATTTGTCCCTATTCAAAAGAATAAAGACATTGCTTTTGTTGCCCTTGCATGTTGTCAGTATACCTTTGATAATATTGATGACGTATACTGGGCATGGGCAAAATTATTAGAAGACGTATGATGATGATCATTCTGTAGAGTGATTACGAAAACCATCCCATTTTAGTTCTGAGATGATAGTTCAGAGGAAGATAATTTGTTTCTATGGATCCAAGCGAATAGAAAAACAACCGACAACTAAGTTACCGTGTTGACTACGATCAGTCAATCTCGACCCCAGAGATCTTCTGTGCATGAGCAAAGCGTGAGCGCTGGGGTCGAGTTTAGCTACCCACAGGTTTCGCGAGGAGTAAGAAGCGGCGTAAACACTGATTTCGAGAATGGTGATCTTTTTTTATAATTTTCTTTTAAAACATCGGATTATTATGTCATTATCACGTTGAGCGGTGAGCGGTTAAGCCGTGATTCCCGAGAAACGATGGCTGAGGTCTTCCCGCCAGCCACTCGTGTTTTGTGTTTTTTTTTTTCACTTGTTTTGACTCTTATTGTTTACGTCAGCGTGTCACCTCTCCAAATTTAAACTGCTGGCAGTTTAAGTATCATCGCATTGAAATCACTTAGGTCTGGGAATGGCGCTGATCTGTTTACCTAAAGATATTGATAATCATTGATTGAATGATTTTGGGGTGAAAATTGTCACATATATGGTTTAATTTTACTTTGCACTTTTTAACGCCGAAAAAGAACACCCGTAAGAGGCATTTATCATTGCTTTGAGAAACATTTTATTGAAGAGCAGCGGATTAGATCAAACAAGCTCCAAGTTCCTTTACGTGCTAGAAACCTCTTTTTCACAAACAAATTAACACTTTGCATTAATCTTTTTAAAGAATTAGCATGGTTTTGATCTATTGAACTATTCAATAGCAATAACTCCTTTCCAATTATCAAAATATCTGTTCAATTATTTTTTCGAGAATACATGAATACTATGGCATTGTGCATTTGAGAGGCCACCTCAGAGGTTTAAACCCGCTCAATCCTTTCATTAGAACTTTTTGCACTATCCTGAAGCGATGTTTCCTAATTTTATAGTTATATTAGCTTGAGTTAGCTTGAGACAATGGTAAGTGACAGAAAAAACTCTAACTGATATCTTCTGAGATGTAAAGGAACATAATTTGTACATCTTGTTCACAAGCGATCAACAGTTCATTTAAATAACAATAATTTGAAAAACAACTCAATAGCTTCGCCCAAAATGAAGCTATTGTCTCAACCGGACATGACAGCAGAATAGTTTTTAATAACTAACCTTGTACAGTTCAGCAACAGAGTGATTGTTGAGGAGCATTTTTTCTCAGAGAATGATAAAAAAGTTTCCTTGAAGAAGAATATTCCTGAAAACTTTATAACGCCATTAGAGAAGTAAGCCATTGTGTTTTATTACTCATTAGCGAAGGTTACTAATGGAAGGTTGCTTTCACATTACTTAATGATAATTACAACTTTCGACATCTCAAAAGGTTCTGTCGTTTGTTACTCAGAATTATTGAACTTTGAAATGGAATTTACAGGTTTCCAGTCCCAAAACGTTTGATTTTAAGGAAGTAGTCACAAGTCAACGCCCAATCACATACGTATGATGGATGAAGATGGATTGATCTCTTTGATCCTTTGACATTCAGTTGTCGTGCGTATTGTTTGTGGAATAGAGGACTTATTAAAGTGATTGATTACCTTGCAAGAGATGCACTGTTCGTGTTTATCAGACACCTTAAATAAAATACAAGTATTATCTAAAGCAAACACGGTTTCTACTTTCTATTTTCTATAACTAAAATGGCTGCCTTGCTAGTAGCAGCCAAAGCCACTCGTTTGATAGTTGACGCTCCGAATGACTCAACCGTTCTGCTAAATTTTTTGTATGTTAAACTCGAGCTAGATAGTTGTATGTAGCTGCGTAATGGATAACCTTCTTAACATTGAACAAATTAAAACCCAAGTTTATTACAGTGAAGCAACCACCGAGTTTAGAGTTACAAAACACAGAATTACAATTACACAGGTTTCGAACCGTATTCATCTGCATCTGTCTTTCTCTGTACTTAATTTCTTCCTTTGCAAAATCCACGAGTGTTTTCTTGTTGAATATTTCTGAACTCACTAAAGTATAATTATTTTGTCTTTCAAATAAAACAGGAATGAATTCTCCTAGGATGAAGAAGATTCAATTCCTGACAGATAGCAGCCAACGTGCACAAAGGTTAAACAACGCTGCTGATCGAATCCTAGAACAGAAGATTTCACACTACAAGAGAGAAGAGAAGCAATTACAGAAAGAGCTCGCCAACTTAAGGAAAACAAAAGAAACTCTTGATGCAGGGATCAAGTTGATTTTTCCACAAAGAGGACGTAGTAACTCAGAACCAGTATCTCCAAGATTATCAGAGCGAACACGTCGCGGTTCAGGTTTCTCGGTCCATGAAACCCGCAAATTGCCTCCAATTGTCACATGTAGTCCTATTTCTTCAAGAAAATGTGTCATATCGCGAGATGATTCCTTTGTCACTGAAAAAAAGGCGTCTTTTCTTTCACCTACTGAGAGAGAACCTGGTCCTCAGCGAGCACACTCCACTGAAAATCTGGAGATGATAAAGGGATCCAAAAACACAAGTTTAAAAGGAAACCAGGTTGCCGCTGAAGAGAAAGAGGAGGGTTCATCACCAAACGACGAATTGATGCAATCTGCTGTGAAAGGTTTTCATAAGGTCGCATTAGGGAGAACCCTTAGTGCAGGAAGTGTTTCATGTTCTCCTGTTTCCAGTGGTTTATGTCATTGGTCAGAAACATCTTCCTTCTTGAGCCCACTTAGTTGTCTTCCCGTACCTCCCAAATCCCCTCAGCCACGCAAAAAGAGAAGCAACAGTCTTTTTAGCACACAATCCAGTTCCAAAACTAACGCAGAGTTGATGGCAGCAGCACATCTGTCTGGTAAGTTTAAATCAGTTGGCCAATGTGCATTGGGCGCGGCAGTTATTAAGCGCCTTAACGGTACGTTTTTAGAGGTAGAAGATATAGAAGAAGATGAAGAAGATGCAGCTTGTTATGAGATGTTAACAAGGCGAAGACAAACTATCGCAAATATTAAAAGCCCAATGATGTCAAGGAAAGCGAAGTCGTGCTGGAAGCAAGAAGTCAGTAGCTCCAAAGAAGATTTTATGGCTGGTCAGACTTAAAGAATACACCTAATAACGAATAAGTGAAGTGTAAACTTAACCTCTTTACACCGTAATTTTAAGGGAGTTATTATAACTCCAAAAATGGAGTAAAAATTTTAGGTACAGGATAACCCCTTATGGGGGGTTATTTTAACTCCTAATTTAACTCAGAAATTGGGGTCATTTTTACTCCTGAAAAAGAGATCTTTAAACGCCTTTTTAGAGTTAAAATAACTCCCCCAAAAATAACTCCACTGTAAGGAGTTAAATTAGCCTCACTAGAGGAGTTATTATAACTCCTTGAAAATTACTGTGTATATACAGGCAAAGGTGATTATAATGCCGGCTGGAAGAACCCCGGGCAAACTTAGGAGAGTAGAAGTTTATTTTTCCTTCTTATAAATTAAAGAGTTGAGTGACTGCACAAGAAGACTTTATGAGCGTTAGCTGCGAATTGAATGCCAGTGACCCAGTGGTAAAAGGAATACTCCAAAAAAATCTTCATCATTGTTAAAACGTGTAGATCAAATTTAGAGAACAGACAAACAATAAGTTAACAACTTTAAGCGTAGTTTGATTCTTCTATAGCAAAATGACTGAAGAAATAGTTTTCTGCATAATTATTACCTCTCTTTATTTAACGTTTTGACTGATATATGCCTTCTTTTTTCACTCGTTCTTGAATTGTGTTCCGTAAATTGTAATTGTGATCTCAAAGGAATGTTTTCATACTACTTCACAGATCCGTTACATGAAATGATTTCATTTTATTTTTAAGAGAATTCAGGGACCCTTACAGTAAATAGCATTTGCCTCCTCCTCAAAAATGTTACATAAAGCGTTAATACTACAAGGGAAAAAGGGGACTGGGTACGGGTGATCAAGGATAAACCTTAGTGAGTTTTCACTCTCCTCAGTAAATAACTGTGGATATTGTGACAAAGATGCATTTTGATTTTTAGCGATTAAAAGAAACTCTGTAGCACCTGCAACATATAAAGACAGATTTTACGCAAATCAATAAAGGAAAGCAAAAACGCATCGTTCTTTCGGCAAATTTTCCAAGACAAGAAATTCCATTTAGCATAACTTGAAAACGTTTGACTGTGAAAGGTTTGAGCCCAGGAGTCATTTCACACGTAGTTTGAGTATGATCATCCGCAGTCCTGAATAGGACTCGGATAGGACAGATGTTGTTGACAGTGACTGACGTTTGGACAACCTGTGCGGTAGTCATCTTCAGAGTCAAAGTGAGTTGTATCACGTCATTTGATGTTATTTTAAAAACTCTGGTTATTGACCTGATTGGTCAATTAAGTCGCGATGTTCTTGGTCGTCTGTCAGTTAAGCCGTGTGGCTATGAAGATTCGTAATGTCATTGGTGCTTTTCGATCCGTCTATTGTCACAGTCAAACAGTAGTTTATTGTTAGTCAAATTGTTAGTTGTCCAGTCGTTCTCTCGTAGTTAGTCTTGCTTTTTTTATTTCATTTATTCCAAAGTACAACAATTACAATAATTATCACATAGTATACATACACACAGGGACTACACACTTAAGCACACAGTCTTTCAACTATACGATCACTAAACATGATCACCTTATTCAAAGCTATGCATATGCCTACCGTTATTTTTCAAGTGCTGGGGTGCTTTTCAAAAAAAGAGGAAACTAACTAAATTATTTACAAAGTCCACTTATATAATCATTTTTGTAAATAAGAAAATAAACCAGATTACAAAGTCCACTTGTCCATTAGTTTTTGTAAACTCTTGTTCTTAGTGCAAATATATTTTTCTTTTTCTTACTTACTGTTTACTTTAACTAGAAAACTGTCTATGTTGAGAAGTACTTCATTCCTTCTGCAACTCCATAGTTATATTTTCCATATAAGTTGAAGATAATTTAGCAAGGGGCATTCGGAAATTAAAATGCCCATCCAAATTTCCTTTAATGTTAGCTGAACTAGTTGTTTTCGCGGCACAAACAATATGATTCAACACATTTCCAGAATGAATTCGAATAAGGACAGTGGAAAAGAAATATTTAATAGTTTCTGATTCCTTTTCGCAAAAAGAGCACAAATTATCTGTACTGTACCCGATCTTGAACAACTTTGAATCGGTAAAAAGTATAGAATTGCGCACTTTAAATTGAAAGGCTTTGACATAAAGTTCAAAAGCGACAGAATGGGGCAAGAGAAATGCCTTTTTAAGGTCGTCATTATCAAATCCAACTTCAATTTTTGTGCATAATTTGGGAAACAAGCCTTCTTTTGGGTTATGTCAAACACGCCGCCATTGATTTTAAAGGAAGGTACTGCATTAGAGCTACAGGAATCCGAGCGATTAAGAACTTTTAAGTTGGCTGGTATTGAATGCGTCATATAAACCAGTCCATTCCAAGAAGTCAACCTTTTTACAATTTGGGCGATCTGTTCGTAAGATTCCGTATTGCTTAGACCAAGTCTCCTATAGCCCAGATACCAATTTCGTAATATTTCTTGTATAAAAGGGCTTGTTGTCTATTCTGATGTCTCGATTATTCCAAATTATGTAATGCTAGTCGTCATTAAGAGCATTTTCTTCTCGGAGTTCAGATCAACGTTTAAGAAATTCTAAATAAAAGGTAGAGGTAATTTGAAGATCTCTAACATTATAATTGCATTTTAAAAGCATTAGACCTCCAGAATCTTTCAAAATATATTCTAGGTAGTTTTTCCACGCGCCCAAGTTGTCACCAAATATTCGTTTAAGCCAGGAAAGACGGAAAGATTTTATCAAACTTTATAATTTGATGTCCCCTTCTTCATAGTTATTTCATTAATGTTGATGCTCTCGGTACTTTATCTTTACCTTTCCATAAAAACGTATATGCGTAACTAGTAAGTGATTTAACCTTAACAATGTGCTCCGGTGAAGGTAATAAAGAGGAGGTGTAAACGATTTTTGGTGCAAGAAGTGATTTGATTAGAGTAACCTTTCGGTAGATGGAAAGCCCCCTTGAGGACCAGATATTGATCTGTTTTCTATCGTCGATTCTATAGACGACCAACAAGAACTCTGCGTTCTACAGATAAAGGACTCTTAGTACAAACTAAATACAACCTTAAAACCTATGGCTACGGAGCTTTTTCACACGCAGCTCCTTAGATATGGAATTCCCTGCCAGTCAGTATACGCGCATGTTGTGAGCTGGGCGCTTGCAAATCAAAATCAAAACATTTCTTTTTAAGCGTGATTTTCAGCTGTAATTTTATTTTATGTTTTATTATTTATTATTATTTATTTATTTATTATTATTTATATTTATATTTTTACTTTTTATTTTTAACAAATAAGTCATTGTAATATTTTGTTAGGTTTATTAATATTAGTACTAATTGTAAAGCGTTTTGGATCACTAGGAGAAAGGCGCTTTATAAATGTATATTATTATTATTATTATTATTATTATTATTATTATTATAATCATTTTATATATGGAGATCTCGGACTCTCAAGCCAGAACTTACGAGATCAAGCAGCTAGACTTGAGAAAACGCTAGAAGAGAGCTCAGAAAACCTATCGTGGGAGACACAGACAGATGCAAATTCAAGAGTTCTCGCTCAAAGAATCGTGTCTACGGATGCTCAAATCGGAGCAAACTCCAGAGGCTTCTCTTCTTTTCCCATAAATACAGATTTCTCTATTCTTGAAGAAACAGGGAGTGAATCACAATATGCTAATCTGTTAGCCTCATCAAACCAAGATTTACATATAGCTAGTACTCCTCAAATCCCAGGAGACGTAGAGCAGAAAGAGCAAAGTGAAAACCATTTAAACAGCCCGGGATGCCTTCCAGAGTATAATACCATTTACAAGCCATCTATGATCAACTGGGGGAAACGAAGCGATGGTAATGCAATTGTTATATCGACGTCAGTCATAACAGATGCTTACAACGAGATCGCAACCTGGAGAAAAAACGTTTTTCTTGTACCGTATGGGAAAATAGGAAGAGATTTTATTGATCAAGTGACTTTGCATATTAATGACTGGAATAGTGGTTCCGACAATCAGCACATATCCCTGAAAGCAGCTTTTGTGCTCCTCGCTGTAGGGCTCCAAAAGCCAAGCCCGAAGTCTAAGGCAAAAGATCATCAAGATGTCTTGTCTAAGCGCCTAATACTTTGGAGGCAAGGTGAAATTAATAAGTTATTACGCGAAGGTAGAATTATTCAAGGTCGTATCGGAAAACTCAAGGCGTCGGAACCGCCCGATAGATCTAAGGTTTTTGCTAAGCTTGTACTGGAAGGTCAAATCAACTCAGCGCTGCGTTTCCTGAGTGAAACAACTAGTGGTGGTGTGCTGTCTTTAACAGATGAGGTCATGTCGCAGTTAAAACAGAAACATCCCAATCCACAATCAGCCAAATTAGGTTCACTACTTTTCGGGCCAATTGATGATCAGTATCCGGAATCCGTGTATACAGAGATTAACGGAGAGATGGTCAGGCAAGCTGCCTTGAGAACAAAAGGAGCAGGAGGCCCGTCTGGGGTTGACGCGAATGGCTTCAGAAGAATCCTTGCTTGCAAGTCCTTTAAACAGTCATCAACAAGGCTGTGTGAGGCAATAGCCACAATGACGAGGACTCTGTGTACACAATACATTGATCCTATGACCATAGAGCCCCTGGTAGCTAACCGTCTGATTCCACTGGATAAAGGCGAAGGTGCTGTTAGACCAATAGGAGTCGGAGAAGTTTTAAGGAGAATTTGTGGAAAGTGTGTAATGAGTGTTGTTAAGAAGGATGTTGTCGATGCCAGCGGCTCACTCCAGCTGTGTGCTGGACAAAAGTCCGGAAGCGAGGCTGCAATACACGCTATGCATACTATATTTGAATCAGATGACACTGATGCCGTACTTCTCATCGACGCCTCTAATGCATTCAACGCACTCAACAGAGCAGCTGCACTGCACAACATCCGGATTCTGTGTCCTATAATAGCAATTTACGCTATTAATACCTACAGACAG